GTGTGCATTTTGTTTTCATTTGAATTTTACTTTTCATCCGCGTTTTCGCAGCGCTCAGCACTTTTTTTTCTTCTGCGCAGTAAACAACGGATCGTACGATCATCCACCAAGACTAATGCAAATCATTTAATGTTTCGTGTTTTTTTTTTCCTCGTCAGTAGCTGCAACACACTTTCAGTGTATATTCTTTCGTTTTCTCTGTGGCTTTGGTTCGTGAACGCGCGAATGCGCGCACACGCGAAACAAATCGTCAGGCAACTGGACAACATGACTTGCAACTGGTAAGCGCCTAAGTACGCAATAAATGCATCAATAATAATCATTATGTAAATGCGCTCTCTGTTATGCAACCGATCGATAGAGAAGAAGAAAAAAAAACAGCAGCTGAAATTGAAATTTACCATGCAGTAGAAAACATTCAATGCACGGATTTATGGTCCATCGTCGATCGATGTCAATGCACAAAGTCTATTGCATCATGTGTTTATTTTTGCTTCGTTTGACCGTTATTTTTTTTTGGCACAGAGTGCGTTTCACGTGGATTCATTTCAAGGGTCTTTTTTATGTGGTTTGGATTATGATTCTTCTGTTTATGATTCTTCCATTCGAATCAATCGGATTTCTGTATCGGTATAGTGTATTTGGATGATTAGAGGAAGAGAACAAATTTTTTTTTACATTTTTCACTCAACCAAGTTGTCATGTATAGAGAACTCCATTTATCAACAAACTCTACCTAATCAGTGTGTCAAATTTTCAGCGCGATACTTCTCACTATATAGTGAACTTTATATGAGTTTGTTTACATTTTGGGCGACAGGAAATTCTTATATATTCAGAAGAACTTCCAAATCAACGAAATTGCGAAGATATTCCAAATATTGGGAATAATATAGAATGATTCCGTTTCACAAGCCTTCCGATGCTTCATCCATTTCTCAAAACACATCCACTACGCACCAAACGAAACTTAGTGGCGTCATAACATCCGAATTAATTCATTTCTAAATTTCGGCTACTACATGTGAGTCATCCAAATTATTTGGTCGGTTTTTGTTTGAGCTGTTTGTTTCTGTTCCAAGAGACCCATTTTGCTTTAGAATCTTTACTAACTGCTTCATTGCTTTGCATCAATATTGACTGATAATCAAATAGTTGCACATTTTTGTGAAATTATACACAAATCATTTGAATTCCTGAATCTATTCGAGCCATTATTTGACAATTTACTGATACAGTGGTTCATATGAAAAATCGGTTGATCATTTAAATTTATCACAAGTTCCCAGAGGCATGCAGCGTTTTCGAAAAAAAAACCAAGATTTTTGTTGTGCATTCAACAAAATGAAAACAAAAAATTGTTTGCGATATTATTGGAATACCAAAAACTCAACGCCCACGCGTATTTTCGGTTCAGAATTTTCATGCGCTTATTCATTGTGGGCGTGTTTCCACGAAAAGACCGTTTTCGGGCGCAAAACGACACTTGCCTTGAATGTGCGTATGGGAAGAAGGAAAGGAAAAAGCAAATGAAAAAATTCTCAATTTCTCTTTCGAATTGAATTTTGAACACAAATTTTGATTCTTTCTTCCTTCGAATTTTTTTTTTTGCTTCTTCTATCCTTCCCTCTACAAGGCAGAGACAAAAAAAATTTCTCTTGAAAACTAACAAACAGACTTGGTAATATCAAATACACTCATTCTTCAATAAACACAGTTTCATCCGATTCTTTCCTCTCTCTCTCTCTCTCTCCCGCAATCCATCCCAAATCTACCAAGCATCACGCGAGTCATAGTAACGTGTATCAAACCCTCTGGAGAACTAGAACACACCTCCTTGGCAACGAGTTCCGTATTTTGTTATAATCGAATAATAAGGATGAACAGAAAAGTATAAAATGTTCTAGGGATAAAAGCATCGCAACGCATACAAATACACACACACACCCAACCATCGATAGCACTTACAACGCATGTAAGAAGACGACGACGCACACAGTCAAACAGCCAAAAAATATAAAAACCCAAAACTCGAATTGTTGTCCGCTTCCTGGTTCCTCTATCGCTGCACAAACACACAAGAAAAGATACACACAAACGGTCGTTTTGTGTATAGCATTCGTTTCGCTCTTTGTGCTCGCCTTTTGTATACCGAATGCCCGAAAAAAAATATCAACACCCCAAAAATAAATCGTGATGTAAAATTCCCGACGCCGAAACCAACAATCCGCATTTTGGCAAAAGAAGTAAATAGGAACTGGCGACCCTTATTAGAATTCAGTTGGAAGATTTCCGTGTGTAACATATTCTGTCGGTTGTCGGTGGCTCGAATCAAATATACGGGCTGAATTGCGCGCGTTCAACGCTCGAAACCGTGCTATGTAATTCCATTTTCCGCTTGCTATGTATTGTTCCCCTCTTTATGTATCAAATACTCAGCGCGATAGATATGTACAATGCATATATCGTGTATATGATATAAAGCGGTGCTGAACACCTTTCCACCGCTGAACAACATTCGTTACGCTTCTCACTGCACTGCTGACTAAATTCAATATTGGAAGTCATTCCATTATTTCTCCTAGCTTTGTTCTTCGCATGAATGTATCACGTTGACTCAGTTCTGTTGGGATTTCGAATGGTTTCGTTTCAATCAAAACAGATAAAATAGCAGAAAAAATCCACAGAATTTCACAGTAGCTCTTGAAGGCGATTTCTTTACACGAAAATCTAGTTTTGCCTTAGAGAGTTGCATGTTGTTCGATTTTTTTTTCCTTCTCTTGAACTATTGGCCTTTCAAACTCGTTATTCCATTGGGTCATTTCGAATTCGACGAATTATATGACCACAGGTTAGTCCTCTATTAACTACACTTAATCCTCAATTTTCCAATTCAATTAGAAACGAGGAATGAATTCGATTGAATAGAGAGAAAAATAGAATTCAAAACGAAAATCGTCCCTTTTTTGAACAACAACGACTTTTGCTCTCTTCGATTAACTTTACGTTTGAACTTTTATTTTTTTGCCTTTGAAGTTACTCACAATAAAGAGTAGTTTATTCTCTATAGAAAGTAGCTTACAATCTATGAAGACTAGCTCACTCTCTTTCCAAACCGAGAATAAAACGGCAAAAATGGCGAAAATAGCAAAAACACACAAAAAAGACGAAAATTGTTGCATGTTCTGAAATGAATTAATTGGCAACAATTAAACGAACAGTTTAATTGATCGTTTGGTTTGGTACATTTGAGTTGGAAATTTTGCATTTGCACACAACTTCGCAACTCGACCATCGGCTCTCACTCGCTTCGTTTAAATCGATTGACTCAATAGTTTTTCCTAGATCAAATTGAATGTTTTTTTCGCCGTTTCATCTTTTTTTCTTCATTTTTTTTACATTTTTTCTTTTGTTTTTTCCGTCTTTTCATTGTTTTTCTTTCTTTTTCTGCGTTTTTTGCCCTTTTTTGTTTTCTCTTTCTTTTTTCTACGTTTTTTCGCCCTTTTCGTCTCTTTTTCTTCCTTTTTGAATTTTTTTTTTTTTTGCTTTTCTCCAGCAAATTCAATTCCTTTCTTTCGTTTTCAATCAATTAATTTCTGTGTGTTTTTCAGTAATTATAACAAACGCATGCGTTGAAAAAAATATCGATAAAAATTAAACAAGAATATCAATACAAATTATATGTTCGGCGAACGTTGTTCGCTTTAAACAGTCTATTCGATGTTCCCGGAGGGAAATGTGTCAGAGTAAATTCTCGTTGAGAATTTGGTGTAAATGTGAGAGAATTTTTTTTTTCATCGTCGATGGGATTAAAAACGTGCTAGTTGACCCGATTTATCAAAATATTGAGCGTGATTAATAATTAATTGCATCGCTCCAATCACCGCCGTCAATCGACGATAAGTCCCAAATTCGAGTGCTATATCTTGTTACAGTGAATCGATGAATTTTTAATCGCCTGTGTACTGTTTTATTCAGCTGATGCTTTAACCGTCTGACCTAAATGACTCAGTTTAACATGAACCGAGAAAAAAAAATCAATTCTCTCTTAAAAAAAGTTCCAAATAAAAAAAGGAGTTATTTCATGTCCAAAAATTTTTTCCTCTTCCATATCCATCCAAAAATATCAATTTTATTTCGAGACTCGGAATCAAAATCGTGGAATGAATTTCATTTGCGTCCGACAATATTTACTTTGAGTCACGCAGTTCACTTGGAATAGAGTTGGTATTTCGTTGCGAGAGAGCGATTCTAATTGAAATGTGTATGCTATTCCAATAGAAGCGGTTGAGCGTTTCGAGTGACGAGAAATCGACAACATTATCAAGCGGAGCAGACAGAAAAAGAACAACAACAACAACAACACATTCAGACACTCCGTTGTGAGTTGTGTGTGTTTTGTTTTTCTTCTTCTTTCGTTGTTCCTTTACCTCACATTCGTCGATATACAATTTGTGTGTGCGTTGTCGCAGTCAAGCCCGTCGACTTGAGCATAAGTCTGTCGCATTCGCTCCGTACGATATTGAATTGATGTTGGTTTTGAACCCAACTCGCATACACACATACACATTCACTAATGCACTCGTCACTGTTCTCTTCTTGGATTTTGTCAACGGCACACAGAACGTTCCGAATGCTCTTGTCCCTCGTTTCACACTTTTTGTAGCGCGCGCGTTTCGGTTGTGTTTTTTTTTCTTTTCTCTTCTCTTCTCTTCTACTTGGTTCTCCAGTTCTGTGCTTCTAAACTGCACATTCGTTGCACAAACAGGCGCGCGCGCGCGTTTGTCGCACACGGTCGGACCCACATATGTGTCGTGTGTTGTGTGTGCAGTGCATGCATATACACTCATCGATTGTACTGCTGTTGCACACGCAACGCACTCACTTCGTTCACCCAGCGTCTATGTGTTCGGTAGAGACGCATAGCGACAACGGTTCGGTGTGCATCGTGCAAACGCACACAGTACGATACAGTAACCACAGTCGTCGTTTCAGTTTTCGTAATCAGTTGAAAACGAACAACGAAGCGAGTGAGACGTGTTTTTGGTTAGTTCTTGTAAACAATCAGTTTTTATAAAGCAAATCAACATAATTCTTCACACCAAACAAAATTCAATATCGTCCCAGTTCTTGAACATAGCAATTTTAATTCTACTTTGAGTTCTTTTGCGTTTTTTGAACGAAAATTTTATTTTTTCAAACAACGAAAAAACCATCGCAGAGCAGAACAACAACAACAAAAAAGAATAAACCAGCAAAGCCACCATAAAAAAAATAAAAATTTGATTTTCGTGAAAAATTTGAAAATTCATATTTTTTCTGTTATTTTGGTGCGCAAAGTGTTTTGAGAGTGAGAGAAATTCAACAAAGACTTGAACGGAAAAAAAAATACGGCGAGACTAAAAACAAGATTTGAACAGAAAGCGATAAAAAAAATATCCGAAGTGACAATCAACTTATATTTTTCGTTTCCACAAACTTTTCTGTTGGGATTGATAAATGCACGTCTAGAGCGCTATTTGTTGTAGAATCGCATTTTTTTATACGAACTCGAAAACGAACAATATTACTGAAAACTGCATTTATTTTTTTACACACACACACACACACACAAAAAGACAGAAATTTTTTAAAACTTCGAACACTTCAAAGAAAAATCATCTCAAAATAAACCAAATAGTGATTCATAAATAAAAACAACCAAATATTTCAAAGACAGAACAGAAGCAGCGTGCCTGACGAAAAATTGCAAAGTGATTTTACTGTAAATGAAACTCAGTTGCATTCAACGCATTTATTTTTTGTGAATTTACCGATTTTTTTTTACATTGTGAATGTGTGCAACACTTTTGTTCAATCACAGACACCATCGAACTGAATTGATTCAATCGACTAAATAAAACTCAATGGCCAGAAAAATTGAGCGAAAGAAAAAAATTCGTAAAAAATTCATCGGGTAGAGAGCGAACATTTGTTGAACAAGAAAATTACCATCAGAGAGTGAGCGATAGAACAGCATTTTCCAGTGAAAATTATTCTTGTGTGAAATTTTACGTCGGCGACGATAAAATTGAGACAATCGCGAGCGATAAAAAGAACAAACAAGAACATTGTAACTGTTAAATTTGACCGAACGAAAAAAATCTAACACGATTTTTTTCTTAAGTGCTCGCGTTTAGTGCGTGCGCAAATCTTCGAGAAAAAAAGAACATTTTGTATAAAAAAAAACACAAACACACCGAACAAAAATGGCAGTGGGATTCTTTGTGGACGATGGTGATGAGCACCTCAACAGCTCATATCACACAACAGTGGCACATTCAGCCACACAAACACCACTACAGAGCCCCGTCAGTCATGAATATCTGGTGCAAGCATTCTGCGAGGCCCTCCATCGATCCGGCATTGCTGGTAAGTACCTTTGACTAATTTATTTTCCGGTGATACTATTTTTTTCGTGATAAATTTTTTTTACTTCGTGATAAAAAAAAATTCGGGCTTCGTTGTGATTTGAAGTGAATTTTTTTTGTTGAGAAGACAAAAAACTTGTGTGAGCGAAGAACAAAATGTGTTAGCAAACAAGCAAAAAAAATGTGTGTTGATATTTTTCGAACGAGTTCATAAGAGCCGTTGAGTCGTGACAGGCCAAAGTAATTTTTCAAACAATCATTTATGTTTTTCAAACAAACAGAACGAAAAATTGAAAACAAAAAGCAAAAAAACTCGACCCGAGAAAAAGAAAACAATTTTTTATTTTTTTAATGCAACGCATATGGTGAAATTGAATCCGTTTTGATAAATAATTTTATTTTATAAACAAAAAAAAAACGGTGAGCTCTCTCTCGTGCTTTCATTAAACATGCCATAAAATGTGTATGTGTACGAAGAATATCGTGATTACAGTCATTTTTAATTGAGTGTTCTGTCATTCGGTGCGTGCGTTCGAAAATGATTTGCCACTTAAAAAACGAGCCAAGTTTTTTTTCTGCTCTTGTGTGTTTGAAAAACAAGAAGCGAGTAAGAGCCAAGCAAATTCTTTTTTTTTTTCCTTTTCCCAAACAAAACTCTTTTTTTTCCCTTTTTTTCCACTGCAAGAAAAAAAGTTAATATCAACAACAACAACAAATTTCATTCTATATAATCAAAACAAGAAATTTTTTCTTCTCCATTTTCGGCGCATAATTTCAAGTTTGCTTGGCAAAAGAGAATCGAGTGAAAGAGAATGCAGCGAAATGAATTAAATAATACATTCTCCGTTGTTCCGGAGAAATTGCATTGGCAATGTAAAAAAAATGGTGGCTCGAACGAAACCAAAAGTGAACGAACCGATGATGAGTGTGTTTCAGTAGCGACGGCAATGGCACAACACGGAATTGGTTTAATGTAACAAGTGTGTTTCTGTGTAATGGCATGGCACACAACCCGTGTACAGCACTCGTACAGTTCGCTCGCCTTTTTTTGCGTTCGCTCGTTGTCGACTACGTCGCAATCCATATGACTTGCTGGATGTTCCATTAAAGTGCACTTGCACTTTTCCACATTTTCATCGTCGTTCGCTGTGCATCGCGTCTCTTTTGGCCAAATCGTATGCAAATCACGTTCTGTAAAAGCATTCTCCTCGTCGCTCGCTCATTTCAATCAGTCATTTGAATTTCGTTCGAAAGCAGTCTGCGGTTTGATTGACGCAATTTCGAACGAAATGATTATTACGCGCGGTGAAAAAGCGGAAATTTTACGAGCCAAATTATGATCATTCTTTGTGCAAAAAAATGACAAAATGGCTAAAAGGTTTAATGCATAAAAATGATGAACTTGTGAAACTTTTGTCGATAATTAGAATGTTGCTAACGGGTGCTCAAGTCTTCAGCAGACGAGTGTGTGTGTGTGTGTGTGTGTTGGGCGTTTCAACGAAGATGCATGATTGCACATGTTATGACTTGTCTTATGAACACATTATATAACACATCAACGGAATAACATGTGTAAAGAGACCGAAAAAAAGAGAGCACCGAGAATGCTAACAAACACGGTTTCGATGTCGCTTTTTGTTCTTCTTCGCTTTTTTTTCTTGCTTCTTTCTTCGTCTCCTACCTGAGCATAATGCACATCTGGCTGAACCAAACCGAAAATACTTTTGCTAACTGAACTAAATGGAAAATACTTTTTACTCTTCAAGGAGGAAAAAAAACCTCATTTCAGATAAAACACAAAACAAGCTCCAAGTTTCGTATAAATTTATTAAATCAAAATGTAAACGATTCGGAAAAGTTTTTGATAACGCGTGTACACAACTGAAAACTCCAAAAACTGCGGTGAAATTGCAGCGCAAATGAGTTTCTCGCTGCTGGGGGGCCTCTATGGTTGTGCATACAAAATGCACTTTAAAACGTAAAGTTTTCCCAAAACTAATGAAACTTGATGAGAGAGCGAGCACAGGGAGAAAAAGGAATATATAGAGAGAAAGCACCAATAAGGGGAAGAGATAAAGTCAGAAAGAGATAGGGAGATAGAGACAGAGAGGTGGCGAAAATATATTAAACAAACATGCATCAAAACATGGCATTTTACTCTAATTAAATCCATTTTCGACGAGTGAAATGCACAAAAAAAACAACGACTAAAAATTGAGATATCAAATTTCCTCCGCAAAATATGGCTTCAAACTCTTTTGCGCATTAACGACGGCAGCGGCAGCGCTCGCGCGCTCGCCTCAGTCGAACAATCATAAATTATAAATTCATGATATTGACTTGTGAACATTTGCATTTTGACAAACACAATTCGTCGTTTGCGGATTAATTTTCGGGAATTTGCGATATCGCTGTTAGGAATTAATGGAACCAAAAGGTTATGAATGTATGCGTTTCTGCGTTTATTTTTAGAAGGCACGTACCGTTCGCCGCAAAATATTATGACTAATAATAATGCCATAACTAACATTGAAATTGCTGATAGACACACGGAGTGAATACGAGAAATGTTCAAAGACGAAAGAGAGAAAATGAAGTCGAAAGAGACAGAGTGAGTAAATTATACCTAAAAACCACAATTCGCTCGTGCACACTGAGAACGCGGTAATACACCGCCACCGTCAACTAGTTTATCTCATATAGACGCGCGAACGAAGCGGCGGCGACAACGGCCGTCGGTTCATTGACACATAATATGTTTTGACTCGTGTTTTTTTTTTCTGTGTGTGTACATAACAAAATTTACCAAAAAAAATATCAACCACTGAATTAAGGAAAACGAAATGTGAAACACTTCAATCACAATGGTACCGAAAATCAAGCGAAAAATTGGCACTTACTGTTTTTCTTTAATATGCCCATGAGATAAAGCCGTCAATAAGCCGAAACAAGCGCGAGTGGAGCGCTCTTCAGTAGAAACGCCAAACAAGCGGCCAAAAATGCTAAATAATCGACAAAAAACGATAGAGTTTCGAATAATGAAAAGATGAAGATAGTTTGAATAGCAAGTAGAACAAGACACAAACTTTGAATAGAGAACCGAAGAGACTTTGGATAAAGAACTAAAAACTTTGGATAGTGAAGATGAGAAATGAGTGGAAGCGCATGTAAATAAGAATTATTATTGACGATTAAAAATATGATTGAGGCGATTTTTTTCTTCTTTCAATTCGAAAGCAACGGTTTTTCTTCATCAATGTATGATTTTTCCCATTCACTTCGAATATCGAGACTTCGAAAATTGGTTCACCAAAAACTGACGGCAACACAACGCACCACGAAAAAAAAGGTTACGCAGCAAGAAATTAAACATGAGAGTAGTAAAAAAGAAGGAGGAAAAAAAATTGTGTTCGACACACAAAAGAATAGAATAAGACGAATCATTTATGACCAACAAGTTTTGTTTTTTCGTTCGTTTTGTTTTCGATTCTACCATGGGTATCGTCGTCAATCTCGCGCGCTCTTTTCTCTCTCAATGTCAGTCTCCTTTGTTTCGACTGTACACACTCACACTCACACTCACTCACACACACACACACACACACACACATAGTTGCGCGCGTACTCCTCACCAAATGGATGTTGATGCCTCTTTGACATGAACGGGCTTCGATATTATCCTAATAGCAAAAGAAACAAAAAAAAACCAAACGAGAGAAAAGAAATAATATGGAGAAAAAAACACATCCTACTGCGATTCATTTATTGAGTGTGTTTTATTGAAATGCATGCGTGATGTTGGCTAATGGTATACATTACAATTTACACCGTGCATATATATATATATTCTCTCTCTTGAGATCGAAGGAAAAGAAACAACAACAGGCTATACACTAACACGCGCACAATTTCGAGTACGTATAAACAGACAGGTTCTTGAACTTAAACTAGAGGAAACTTACAATAACAACAACAATGAAAGCAACAGAGAAAACTAAAAGAGTTGAGAGCGAGTTTGCTGCATGCAGCTCCAACAAATATGGTTTATTTTTTCACGTTCTTCTTTCGACTCCGTTCTCCTGGTTGCATTTTCATTGTGTGCACTCGATTTTTGTTTCAACGTCAAAAACTATATTCTACGGCTGTTGCAGCTATTGCAGCAGCTCGAATCGAGTTGCTTTTTCTATTATTGGGTTTATCTCGATTTCAATGGGTTTTTGGTTCGCAAGCGCGCGCGTATTTAGCTTGAGAGTGAGTGTGGCTCAGCACACGAAGATGCAGGCAATTCGGTCTCGAGAGCCGGATATGGCACGGAATAAAACGAGAGTTGTTCATTTATAGCGTGGCCGATAGTAAAAGTCTTTGCCTGATTTTTCGTCGCTCCGTTTTTTGCACGCGTGACAAGTTCAACCACTTTTATTTTAATTTCTTTCCTCTGGGTTTTCTGGAGCAAAGTCCATTTTTACTTTTTCCGATTGTGATTGCACAATCATCGCGCAAAATTGCATAAAACGATTTAGAATATATGAAGCCGAAATATAAGAACTCCACTACGACGTAGTTTTTGATATCAAAATATACATTTTCAGCATATGAAATGTGATAAAATTGGGAAGCCAAGGTTTATTTTCCGCTCGTTTTTTTTTCTTTTCATTTCGTTTCACATTCATTTTCTTTGTTTCGAGAATATCGTTCGAGTTCAAGTTTAAACCATTTGTCGCTATAAAATGTCGACAGAAACGTATTTTTTTTCTTCCTTTTTTTTATTCCTCTATCTTTTTTGGACCCATAAGATTGATATTATGCACAGCAATCGTGTCATTTTCGTTTGGTTGTCGTTTTTTCTCTCTCTCTCTCTTCTCTCCTTCTTCATTTTGTCCTTTTTTCTCTTCGTTTCTTCCATTCTACGATAATTCCTAGTTTCAATCTGCACGCTCTCGGGCAAGAGTGATGAAAAAAACGCGCCTTCATACCGAAACGAACATATGAGAGTGTCTTATTGTCGCTTGGCTTCGTTCATTATCGTTCATTTTCTTCAGTTTGCCCGTTTTTGCCCAGTCTCTTTTGATTTTTCATTCGTTTGTGTGTATTTCTTTCTTTCGCTTTTTGTTGTTATTCGTTTGTATTAGTCAAAATGATATTATTCAACACAATTGTTTATAAATAATATAGGCTTTTTCTGTTTCTGTCTCTGTGTTTACTGTTTTTTTTTATATGAGCTACGTACTAAAAACGTAAAAACGTAACATCTGGTTGGCGTTCCTAGATTTTTCTCTTTTTTTCTCTCTTTTTTCCGTATCCTTCGTACTAGGTATACGCAAGGAAAGCGTATACATAGGAAAAACACAAGGAGAGAAAAAACAAAATTCGACGACCGTTTAAAATGCCGTCGTCATTTTCTAGCTAAACAATTATTGTAATTATATTTCAACGAGTCGAAATCTTTGTGCAGAGAGAGAGGAAAAAAAGCGTTTAATTTCGATTGGAGACGTGAATTTTTGAAATTCAGTTGCACTTTGTAATCAGAGTCATACACACATACAAGTCGTGCCCGATCAAACGTATATTCATCGAAATGTTTGATCTCAACCCCTGTTTGCAACCATTTGAACTCTCTACCTCGCAATTGCAGTTCGATTGTGAGTGTGAGTGCGTGTGTGAAAAATGCCAGGATTCATACAGAAATGAGTTATTCCTGTGAAGTGACAAGTGCAACATATGCGTTGCATTTGGCAGAGGCAAATGGAAAAATGGCGATGGCGACGGCAACGGCAACGGCAGCGGTAGCATTTCACAGATTTTCTCATAGGCGAATTAAAAATAATTACAATTCGTTGTAGATTAACAATCGTAGCGCTATCGCTATTTCATCGAAATTCCGGAGCGCTATTGCCGAGCTTGCTCGCTCTTTTTATCCATCTCTCTCTCTCCTTTTCTCATCTCAATCTCCGTCTCTATATATCTCGCTGCTTCTGTTCCAATCGAAATCTCCGTCTCCGTATCTCTCCTTTTCCCTCTGTTCCAATCGCAATCCAACCGAATGGATTCGCTTGAAAAATGTCACCGTGTGCACTGCACAATTGCAACAACAGCAGAAAAAAGCGGCAACGTTGTGTGTGCAAAATTTAATTATATCTCGCACATGATGTTCAAGATGTTTCGTTCGCACAGAGAAAAAAAAACAAACATTGGAAACGTATTCAGCGAGACATTCATTTACACATTTCGTTGTTGTCGTCGTCGTCGCAGTTGAGCACGATTTAACATACAAGCTGAACGAAAGAAAAAAAACAATTATTTTATTATTTATGGAACGCGTGATCCAGCGGCAAATGAACACTTGTGCGCGCATATTCGTTTGCTTGTCTATTTATAGCCATCAATCATTACATTTTGAAATTTTATGGCGTTGCATTTGCGCTCTACACACAGTTCCTTTCGGAAATCTTAAACATACTACATCCAGCCACAGACGACTGGATCTCTACCGAACGACGGCTTATCGCCTATTTTCTTTGCCCATTGTTTGTTTATTGTCACGGCATTCGCAATTCGTTTGCGAAAAGAGAATCCCTTTAGTTTATTTGAATTGACTTGATTGATTTGGTTCAGGCAAAACTTATCGCAATTTGCAGCAAACAAAAAAAAACATAAACAATTTTTCTGAATCGGACATGTGATTAATTCGAGCTATGCTATCTGATCGCTAAACAAAGGAAATAAAGAGCGAAATTGAATTACGCGCAGTTTTTATGCCAGTTTTTCACCGATAACATTTATGCAAAGAGTTATTTGTTCGGAAGTTTTCAGAATGAGCATTTTTGCTGCTATTTTGTTCAACGAAATTCGTTTGAAGAGATTTCTTGGCATCATTTTCATTCTTCGATCTCCTCATCAGAACACTCTTGATTCTCTCCATCAAAACACACTTCATTCTCTCTAGAATCTCTCTCTTCTTTTATCTATCTCCTTCTCTTTATCTCTCACTATCTTTCACTCACTCTTTTCTCTCTCAATGCCTGCCTTCATGGCCGCCGATTCATGGGCTAATCCATTCAAATTCCGATAAAACGAGTATAAAAGTCGTCATTTTCATGCAAAAAGAATCATATCTATGATTCGCAGAATGATCGTGCACACATAGCCTTTGTTCAGCTCTCCATTCATTCGAACAGTATGCGCGTTTTTGTCGTTGCGTTTTCAGTTCAAGTTTATGCGCGCACGGTGCTTTATGTTCGTTCATGTTTCAATAGCATAATGTCGATGCAGTTCATTGTTTAGAAATTGCGAGTGATAATGAACTAATTAAACGAGCTCAAACTACTCGCTACAACTTAATGTTAACGAAAGAGACCGAAGATTGAAAGAGCAAAACGGCAAGCAGAACAGAGATACAAAGAAGAGTGACGCATTATTTGTAAGTTTTTGTATCGCCTTTTGTTTGATTAAATTCGTTGTTTTGTTCGCATTTGTTTCGTTTAATTTACTCATTTCTCTAATTGATCAATGGAACACACTGTGTACACGTTATCTGATTCCGTTTTAAGCGCGTACAGACACAGTTTTTCCCATAATAATATCTCTCTAGTTAGAAATTGCTAGCAATTGCGAAGTAAACGATTTTCGCATTTAATTGAAAGTAAACGAGCGAGTAAAAAAGGCTCATTTTTTGCTCTCATAACGCGAACAATGATTGTATTTCCGCATTATCAAGACATGTAAATTTTTAATTAAATTAAAATCTATTCGACGGGTACTGCATATCGGAATAGTGAAGCGCATATCAGAATGATAAAGCATAGAGACGGGTCTCTGTCAATGGCAAATATGATCGTTATTTTCTTTGATTTTTTTTTCATGCGCTTTTTGTTTGTTGTTTGCAACAAAAAAAACGAGGAAAACTCATCCTCATTCGCATGTTGAGAGCTAATGAAGTGCAGCATGAAGCTCGTTGAAAACTGGCGAAGCACTTGAAATTCACACTCGAAAAACATGCATGCACTGATGCTGCTGCCGATGCTGTCGATGCCTCGGCTGGCTGTTGAAACAGTTGCAAATCCAATTTGGATGCGCTTGATGAAACAGATAACCCAATGTAAATATGATACATGCAATGCGATATATTTATTGTTTGCAAGCGCCGTCAGCGCTATCATCACATTGATGATACTCTCTCTCTCTCTCTCTCTCTCTCT